GAAAAAATACTTCTTTCTCTCCCTCTTTTTTCTTTTTTTTTTTTTTTTTTTTTTTTTTTAATTAAAGGAAACCCCCATCTCCCCCTCTTAAACTCCCCCCACCTTGGCTGACTGACAAAGTGAGCAGAATCCGTGTTCTCACACCAGCGGGTATCTATTACATGAGAACTTTCTTCTGGCGCCAGGAGGTATTTAAAGAGTTTGCCTGGCTATTCCGCAGGGGAAACCCTGCTGAAAGTTGGGGATACCTGAGCACAACTCACTGCTAGCCAAGCTCCGGGCAAAGCAGCGATCACGCTTGATAATGTCTCGTTGCCGTTATTGCACTAGAAATGTCGGGGAGAATAAGTAAATAACAGGGAGCGGTTTTTTGTTTTGCTTTTTTGAGGTTGTTTTGGTGAGGTTTTTTTGTTTGTTTGGGTTTTTTTTTTTTGGGGGGGGGTTGGTTGTTTGTTTGTCTGTTTGGTTTTAATTTTAAAAGCATGTTCCCGCTTATGCTCAGGGTTGCTGAGGGAGGAGCACCAATCCTCCCCACAGCCCAGGCGGTAAAACCAGCCCCGCAGTCCCCGGCGCAGCACACCAGCGGCTCGCTCCACTCCTATCGCCTAGCAACTCCCTCCGGCAGGATTTTTCTCCTGGAGCCGAGGGTTTCCTCCGCCAGGCCGGCGATCGCCCAAGCATAGGCTCCTCCAGCAGCCGGAGAGCGCTGCCCGACCCGCACCAGGAGATCGCCCCACAGGGGCAGCCCCGGCCCGCGGGATGGTGTCCGGGGAGCGGAGGAGGGGGGCGGACAAGGGGCTTTTGTAGTCCCCGGTTTGTAGTCCCTTCACCAAATGAGTCATTGAGCATGTCCCTTGATTGCAAGGTTTGCACTCGCTAGGCAAAATAAACTCTAGTAAATACTTTTTTTTTTCCTTCCAGGGGTTCATTTGTCTCCTGTTTGCTTTATTTGACATGGCTTGACCCACTGAGTAGTTTTCAATTTTCTTATATGGTGGAAAGCCACTTTTTAGAGGAGCCCTCTCGTCCGTCCCGTCCCCCCCCCCCCCCGCTTCCCCCGTCCCCAAGGCACACACATTTCATTTCCAGCAACTGCTCGGGCTAGCGGTTCCTGCCTTCCCCCGTGATAATTTCAGGATCGCCCTAGCCCCAGGGGAGCCGGGCTAGCTCACACGGAGTATCCCCAGAGAGGCGGCTGACAGGGCACCGGGACACGGGCATCACGGCGCTGTCACCTTAGGAAACGACAATACGAAAGGGAATCCTTCAGTGGTCCCCCGACTCGTACCAGACCTCTGGCTAAGGACAGGGCATCCAGGGCACTGGCTGTAGCAAACAACATTCCTGGTCAAAACAGGCGTTTTAAACGGGGACAAAATTGGTGGGGGAATGAGGAATGCCGCACACTTCTCCCTTCACTCGGTGCCTTTACCGGGCGATCTGAGCCATGCATAGGCGTCTTTGCTCTAGGTGGCATTTAGCAAAGGTAAATTCATCCACCTGCTTTTCCTACTGGACTAGCGATGTCAAGCATCCATCCCTTCGTGGCAGAAGCCTTGCACGCCCTTCACGCAGCCTGGATGTGTGTTGTAGTCCCTTGTGGAAAGATGAAGACTGATACCCTTTGCGAGACACCGTTCTCATCTCCTCCAGACATTCTGCCTGTCTCACCACCTCGGGAAAATGAATAAAAACACCCTTGTTATATTGAGGTCTTTCAGAAAATGTGTAAAGAGCACTTCGGGTCGGGGCGAAGTCACTCGGTAATGCTGATGAGTTCGAAGAAAGGACAAATGCCAAAAGAAAGCCTTATTTAAAGTGCTTTATCGAGAACACATCATCTTCTTCCTCTACCCTGCTTTGTCGCTGCCAACACCCCAGAGGATGAAGGTGAAAGGCGCAGGGCTTTTAGCAGTTCCCCCTCCCATCTTCAGAGATAACCTGGGTTTTACAGACTTGGCCTCCGCTCAGTTTTTTCTCTTTTGCTTTTTGCTATAATTTATTCTGAAACTTTAGAAAGGACATTAAAGAATTATACCCCCTCTGCCTCATCCCAGGCGCCCGCAGGGGTGTTAGAGCCGTGCTTTTGCCGCGGGGGCTGAGGCTCCCGGGCACAGGCGCTGCCCGGCCTGTCCCGGGATGCTCTTCGTCCTTGCCGGTCCTCAGGTGCGGAGCGAAAACCTCTCACCTGACATAAAAAAATGAAGGAGAAATCTAGTTTTCGTGAACTCCTTGTTGCTTGGATGGGTTGGTTGCATTTATTTACCAAAATGCCATGTGGAAAAGTGTGAGAAAGAAACCCAACTCTGTCCCAGTGCACCTCCCCAATTTAGGGATCTCCTCTCAGCGGAGATATGCTGTGAAGGCCAGCGTTTGTGCCCTCAGGGCCAAAAACGGTGCCAGAGGCAAAGCTCCCTGGGGAAGAGCCTCTCTGCAGCTTCTTCCCATGCAGGAACTATTTTAGCTGCTGCTCCAATCCCTTGACATGCACACGCTGGGCTTTGCAAACCCAGGTTGCCTCGGCACCACACCCAGCGTGCAGGGGTGGACCGTGAAACAGGGGAGGATACTGGTCTCGGGAGTTCGGGCACAGACAGTGGATTTACCTTTAAACGGAGAAAGGGGAAAGGGACTGCACCTGATAACGGTAAAGCATAAAATGCTGCCCTGCTATACCAGTGGCTTTTTCCCCACTCAGCACAGAGACCATAAAGGATCAAAGTCTTGACAAATGGAAGCATGATGTAGTGCCCTGGCCCCATCAAAGACTTTATCCTGAAAATGATATCTTCATCAGGATCGCAGAAATTAGTGGTTTGATAGATGTGAGAGGAGTCAGGTCTGCTCGGTTTTGTTGGGAGTAAATCCGAAGTAACCCCTGACGTTCATTCCGGATTTATTCCATTGCATTTCCCATTTCCTTCTCATCCAGGAGTAGGCACAGACGATCTGAGAATTTGGCTATTCCACACGCCCTCAATCCTTTCATTAAATGTGCCGAAGTATCCATTATGCGTCGCCTTTAATCCGCCGAGGCAGAGATAGGCGGGAAAGGTGAGATTAGCCATTGCGGCTTTTAAGACTGGGTACCATTTTCTTCTTTGTTTAAAGAAATTCAGCGCTTTCTCCCATTAATCTTCAGCAGGGAAAGCGTTCAGCCCGCACCTGTATAAACAACCCAGATGGGGGTAAAAAGTAAACCTATATGTCTTCCCCTGCAGTATCTTTATATATATATATATATATATATATATTTATACGGATAATGTAGGCTAATTGGGGAGGCAGAGCAACCCCCAGGTCCAGCGCGCTGCCCTTTCACCGTGCAGCGTGTGGGACCCAGCCTGAGCATCGCAGTGTCAAACCAAGTTCAAGAGATCCAGTTGCAAGATCAGCTGCCTGTTTAGGTGGTTCAAGAAATGTCAAGTTTCACTTGGAAAGGCTGCCGTTAAACCCAGCTCTGATGTGGTTCTAGCCCCAGCGGGTGAAGCTGGGGTTTGCACAGCGTTAAGTGGCCTCAGTGAACCCTCAAGGCTGCCGGAGATGGGAGCAAAGCGCTGGGTGCAAAGGCAGCCGGCGGTGCCAGGAAAGTTGCGTGGCAGCAGCCGGGAAGGTTCCGCTCGGCCGGGAGGGAAATGGAAGAGGAAAAGCGTGAGCAAAAATTGCGGGACAAGATCTTTCCACCTGTTGTAGTCATTAGGTTCTTTTCCGAGAACTGCATTTTTATTCTGGTTAACTCTATCCAGGCTGTGAAGGCCAGCGAGGAACCAAGCGCTAGTTCTTCATCCAGAAAAGAAGGGATGTTTTGAGGGAGTGTGAGGAATACGAGTTGATGGTTGATTTTTTTTTAAATTTATTTATACCCCTGTTTAATTTGCATATCAGTATTTCCATTGGATACAGAGTCCTCCACTCGCCTGCGGACTCTCTAAAAGTTGTACTATGGAATTTGTTTCAAGCCAGTAGCTTGAAAAGCTCTCTCTTTTCATTTGCTCTGTGACACAGAGGTGTACATAGCCTAATAAACTGGGGTTTGATTAATTGGTCTGAGGACGGAGAAGCTCTTGGACACGGTATACTCACTCGCTACCGTCTGTAGCTTCACCCCAAATTACTGACACTATTAAACTACAGTACGCACGTTCCCAGCGACTTTTTGCATTGCTCCCCACCCATCGTACACCCACCCCCGGGTGCCACGTCTCCTGCTGCCTCTGTCCGCTCCGGTGGGGGCACGGGGATCGCACAGCCGCTTTCTGGAGCTGGGCAGGCAGCGGCCAGGGGACCCCGTCCTGCCGCGCCGCTCGGCTGCGGGGAGCGGGGCTGTGCACCAGCTTATACGTTGGGAAAATCCCCCACCCTCGAAGGAAAACCAAGAAAGAGAGCGAGTGTAGGTGGGCTGGGAGCAGTTCCGGGGCGCGCTCAGCCTTAGAGAGCAGTGCCCCGCTCCCCGCGAAAACACCGGCGGGACGAGCCTTGGAAGTATTTTACATCCTCCGGGGCGAGGAGAGGGGTCTGTCCCAGAGGAAAGGAGTTTATTCACTCGGCGGAGTTACTCCCAAGAGCACACACACACCTAGAGACATCCCCGCATGTTCCCGCGTGTGTGCGCCCCCCCCCCCCCCCCACACGCGTCTGTCTCTGTCCACCGCCGCACCAGTCCCGCCGCGGATCGCGGGATAGCGCGGAGAGGCGCCGCCCCCGGCGCGGAGTTCGCCCTGAGCCCCTCTCCTCCGCCCCGAGCCCCTCTCCTCCCCCCCTGCACCCCTCTCCTCCCTCCCGCGCCCCTCTCCTCCCTCCCGCGCCCCTCTCCTCCCCTCCGCCCGGCAGATGGTTCGCTCCGCGGACACACGATATATAGGGCTGTCAAGGGGCGCATCCCCCCTCCGCGCCCCCCCGCGCCCCCGCCCCGGTACGAACTCTCCGCGGCGGGGACGCCCCGCTCTGTGCCGACTCGCCCCGGCCGTCCGCCCCCTCCTGCCTGCCGCGCTGCCCGCCTCCCTGCCCGCCCGGGGCCATGTCCACGGGCTCCGGGAGCGAGGCGGAGGAGCTGCCCGAGATGGACTTGCGGGCGCTGCAACTGGACTACCCGCAGCCGCAGGCCAAGCGGCAGCCCCGCGGTGAGCTCTATCCCTCGGGGGACAACTCCTCGGCGGCGGAGGAGGAGGAGGAGGAGGAAGAAGAGGAGGAGGAGGACGGCGAGGGCAGCTGTGCGGCGGGGCCGGCAGGCAGCGGCTGCAAGAGGAAGCGGGCGCGGGGCGGCGGCCCCGGGGGCAAGAAGGCGGCGTCGGGGCCGCGGGGGCCTCCACCCGAGGGGAAGCAGTCCCAGCGCAACGCGGCCAACGCGCGGGAGCGGGCGCGGATGCGGGTGCTGAGCAAGGCGTTCTCCCGGCTGAAGACGAGCCTTCCCTGGGTGCCGCCCGACACCAAGCTCTCCAAGCTGGACACACTGCGCCTGGCGTCCAGCTACATCGCCCACCTCCGGCAGCTCCTGCAGGAAGACCGCTACGAGAACGGCTACGTCCATCCAGTCAACCTGGTACGGCGCGGCGCGAGGGGCGCGGAGGGCGGGATGCGCGGCGAGGGGCACCCTCGGGAAACCCCCAGGGGGCCGTCCGGGCTGGCCCCGCAGGGCCAGCCCCTCGGGCCTCGGCTGGCAGCGCTCAAGCCGTGCCCTCCCAGGAAGAAGCGGTGGGGCGGCCCTGGCTGCTTGGTGAATCCCCAGCCACCCTCGCCCCGGGGGCGACCCGAGCGTCGGGCTTGGCCTTCGGTGATGGCGGGTGTGTCAGTCCTGGGGAGTCGGAGTAGGGGACCTTAAAGAACTACATTCCTCGGGCATTAGGCAAGCTTAGTGTCCTAAAAAGGAGTAACTCGGTCTGCGGGCTGGCCGGGAGTATCAGCAAGCCGTCATCAGTTCATCGGGCCAAAACTAAACGCCCGATGGTTGGTCACGGGGTAAAAAGGTTTCTTATATACAGCAGTGTGATTGTTTTTGAGTATTTGATATGGTTTTTATTTATTACACGATGTAAACAGTTGCAAAGCAAGAGAAACGTTCCATTTTGGATGAGAACAATCTGTTGCTGACCATTGCAGCCCTTCTGTGGAGCATTTAATTATAATGAAAAACATAATGAAAATATTTGTTAGAGGAACTCAGCTCTCTCTGTGCTTCCCACAGGGACTAAAACATGATGACGTGTTTGCAACTGAACCAGAGTTAGACATCTATCAGTAATAAAGCTCCAGTTTCATACGAGGATAAACTTTCTTTTCATATGAAATACTTTTTCTTTTTGCTTACAGACTTGGCCATTTGTGGTTTCAGGAAGACCTGACTCTGATACCAAAGAAGTTTCTACAGCCAGCAGATTATGTGGAACTACGGCATAGTCAGAATAAATTGAGGATTTTTAATTGTTGTTGATCTTTTTTATGGGATGGATATTTTTAAGAGCTGTGGTTTATCGGCTCAGGACTAGACGATGGGGACGAACCCCCATCTCTAACAGTGTTAAATCTGTGTCCCTTGTCATTCCCATGTGTCCCTTAGAGTTCTGAGGGATGTTTATTTAAAGCAGTAAAGAAGGGAGGGAGTTGGAATTAGACTTTTTATGGACTGACTGCAGCAGCTGAAGTCTGAGACTTGGCTTCATCATTCCTACAACTGCCTGGGGACCTGCTGTTCTGAGGCTTTTAAACTAATGAAAGAGGAATATAATGATATAGAATTAACAGCATGGACCAAAATACAACTCTACAAACTAACCCCAAACAGTGTTATTTGTATTGTAAATCAAAACAGTATTTTAAAGTAGCTTTGAAACTCAGATAGATTTATAATATATTTTGATGGCCTTTGTATTCACGGATCTGGCTTACTGCAACTATGCAATAAGTACAGTCATACTTCTTTTTTTTGGTCCCTTTAACCAGAATTTTCTTAAAAGTGTGTAAAAGGCCACATTCTGCATTTAGGCTACCATACATTGGAATTAAACTAATTCCTTTGGTTATGTCTTGAAGCGCCACATGTAAGAATGTGGGACTGTCACTAGAATTGTGGCAGAGTTTCTGTACCTTAATCTGGAAGGGAATTTTGCTTACTGTATGGCAAGGGTGCATGTGTTGAAAAGAATGAGTTTGTATGATGCTGCAAAATAACAAGAATTCACAATATTTTAAATATTTTTCCTGTAATGTTATGCTTATCTTTGAAAAGTTTGCTCTCAAATGAGTTAAAGTGTCACTTATTAATGGATTCAAATGTTGTAATAAAAGAGGATGCCATCAAATAAGTTGCAAATGTAAATAACTCTATTTTTTTATAAATTACATTAAAAGCTTGGTTACAATGAATTACTGGTACTGTGATACTGTGTGGCTGCATCCATATGAGAGCATCTTTGTAATGCATGTTCTTGAAACCTGCTTTTGTAAACACAGTTATCTTCCCCACCTCTTGAGAGCAGATACATCTCCACAACAGAGTCAGATAAGAACATTATCACCCCAAACATTTCATGTGAGGCACAGTACTATATCAATAAGCAGGGAAAGACACATTTTTACAACTTACAGAATGCATTGTAACAGTCTCTTTTGTGAGACAGAAATATAAATAAATGTAGATTAAGAAATCAATATCATATGCTGTAATAGCTTGTTTTGCTGTTCTTTGTCACTTCACATTTCCATCTGTAGTCTGTTTTGCTTTTATTTCTATTTTTGCAGTGGGAAAATCAGATGAGTTTTCCTAGTTGGAGCAGAATTTTCCTGTTTTAAGATTAAAACTCCTGAGATAAGATTTTATTTTTCTCAAGATTCTTCACTAGCGGTTAACTCACAGTAAGGAAGATGGAATTGCTTTAGAGAAGAAAAAAACACCTCTTCCTCATATAAGCAGTGAGGAGGAAGAAACATTTGCTTAACAAGAAAAAGTTTAACCTATTTTGTTGTCAGGTCATTCTGTGTCATGGATTTCTGGTTTGACATACTGCATAGAAACCCAAGGCTGACTATTGGTAGTGTCTTGCAAGTAGGTGAACTGCAGATAATGGCTTTTCTTCTTCCGAAATGTCAAATAATCCAGAGTCACTGCAAAATAAGATGAGCGATCAGTCCAAGATCTGCTGAAATTGTTGCTTTTAGTGATTTGGGGGCAAGTCATACAGAGACCATAATATAACTTATCTTCCATTTTTTTCCAGAGAAAGTCTGTGAAGGAAGGGGGCTATCCTAATTTGCAGTTGTGTGACTGAGGTGGGACTCCAACTGACCTTCTCTAGGAAGCTTTATAAAAAGAAAAGAACATAAACAGTAAAGCAAAAAGGAAGGACCTTTAGGAAGGCATAAGTTATAAGAAAACTCAGCCAATGTTTATCTAAACCCTAGAGAAAAGATTATTCAGCAGTTTAACTAAGGTACCACTTGAGATAATCTCAGTTGTGATATTTAGCTGGTTTTGGCCTTGATCCCAGCTGTAATTGGTTAACGACTCTAGGAGATCAGAAAAACAAGGAAAGCTGGAGAAGTTTAAACAGTATAGAAACGTTCATGCAAAGTAATGGAAAAAAATGTTCAGGGTATATTCCCAAATATGAAGTGGTTATATTAAGTAAATACAGTAGGTCAAAACTGGGGGTGAGGAGCGTAACATGAAGTAAAACATAGGATTGCTTCCATCCATGCACCATACTACATGACCTCAAATACTTTTTTCTTTGTGCCTACATAATATATAAAAATACTTTCTTCATAAAGTAATGAATGCACTTCCTGCACTTGTTATGGTAACAGATATATAGTGCCCCAACAGACTGTCGCTGGTTTTAGAATAGAAGTAAACAATGGCCACAGGTAACATTTCAGGTCAAAAACTGGAGAGAAAATGACAGCTTTTAGATACTGAATGTTGTCTAAGACTCAGTTCTTTCTTTTAAACACATCTGTACAGAGATACATGTCTTAGTGTATACTTATTTCTCTTACTATAGCAGTTAGGGATGTTTGGATTTCTCCAACAAGGATATTATATTTCAAATCATTAATTTTAATCCTTGGGTTCATAAATATTCTTTTTAAAAGCAAATTAATCATCTTCTCTCCCAGTGAAAGGCATTATGTGATTAGGAAAAAGTTCAGGCAATTGAACAGGCTCCTTGCGGGTTTGTTCTGAGATGATGGCCACTGTCTTTCCAGGGAAGTGCCAGGTAGGTCACGTATTCTGGCATTCCTCACCTATAAAGACATACAAAAAGTACATGCATGCATTTTTGAAACCTTTGAAACTCACAAACAGATGAAATTCAGATCAATGCTTTATATGAATGAGATGACCAAAACATTCTAAAATGCTATTTTTGAGCATTTGAGATTCCATAGAAAGATAATGTGTTTTGATCCTTCTTCTTTTCTTTTTTTCCCCTTTTTTTTTTTAATCAAGTTTTTGCCAACTTGATAGAGTAAATTGATTTCATTTGTAAAGCCTGAGTATTTTCTTTGACTGGATAATTCCAGAGCTGTGTAGAGGGGAGATTTAAAATGAAAAACTACTTCACATTTTTACAGTTCACAAGCACAGAAGGTAAGAAATACACACATTTTTGTTAGATTTGACAAGTTTACACTTGGTGATTTTTTTGTTACATTAATGACATATTTGTTCCTTGGCACAAGGTAAAGTGTGAACCCACCTTGATCCCATAAAGTTATGCATATTTTGCTAAAGCTGTTTTACAAATAAAATGCCAAATCATCTGCTACTTGGCTCTTCAGCCAACACCTGCTTCATGTGAAGTCCTAATGGCAGAATACCTGCATTGACTTTCCTGGCAGACAGTCCATACAGAAGGAGGAATATTTGTCTCCCAAAAATATTTTCATGACTTTAGGCTGATATAGATGCTGTGTGGAACTTTGTTTTGTCTCTATTCTGTGTGGGAATCTGATAGAGCAGATCATTAGCGTCTCTCATGAAACCATTCCTTTCCAATGCATGTGTTTGCTTACACAAGGAAAATACATCTGTCATACTGAAAATGTTAACAATTCTGAACTGAGTAAAATAAACATAGTTTGCATATAAAAAATACCTAAGCCTTACCTTTCCCATTTAGTGCCTTTATACACACACTATTTAAAGAACTCTCAGATATGCTAAGCATTCTAAATACAAATTTTGAGTTTGTCAGCTAAGTAAAGGTGACTGAAAGAAGTACAGTTGCTATAGGGGTCTCCCAGGAGAAAGAGGGAGTTGAAGAAATCAATTTTAATATCTTAATAAGTATCTGAAATTTACTGTGTCTCTATTGACTCTAGAAGGATCCTAAGGTGACTCATGACTCAGTTAAATATCTAATGTTTCAGTTAACTATGTAATGTTGTAAGGAATACAGGCAGGTTTAAATGTCTGAACTTTATATGAACCAAAGAAGCTAAAAAGAAGGGAGAAGGGGAATTTAGAGCCACCCACTAATACAAGCTTATAGTAACCTTGTAAGTAAATAATAAATACATTATTTGGATGAAATAACTTGGAAAGCTGTCCATTCTACTGTGCAATAGTCACTTCTTACCAAGTAACTAATTCTGTATAATAGCAAATTTGCATTTGGTATGGCAGTGCAGATTCTCACCAAGACTAACAGCAATTATACCTAAGAATTAGGTTCCACCACTGGACAGTGTTTATCATACTTCACTCCAGCTGAAAGAGGTGTACACAGATATTTTCTACAGTGCACAGAGACAGATGTTGAGCTGCTTTCCAAACGCTAAATACCTAAATTTGTATTTTTAATATATTCTGGCAGGAGTGCAGTGGAATCAGTTGCTACATTATTCAGAGACCTGTGCTATTGCAGTTTAGGCTGGTTAGGATTCAGGTACTAAGAAGGAATGGGTATCACTCTCTTCCTGGGCTCTGAAAAAATTGTAAATGCAAATGAGTAAAAAATAACTAAAAATGTCTTATTTGGAATGCAGCACATGAGAATCTCACTAGAGTTAAAATTCCAACAAAAGTTAAGACAGCTGGAGGGTTCATATAGTTATCTATCCAACAAGACAAGCAAAACTGAGAACTCGTGGCTGATGGAGAGCTGAAGAATCACTCCTGTAATGTTGGGGTGCTGACAGCCTGAGAGTCTGTGTCTGGGACTAGAAATATGTGGCAACACTCAGAAGAACTATAATTAACCTCGATGTGACTGGAATTTAGCAAGCAAAGGAAATCACTCAATATTTTCACGGTGGTGAAATTGTTAAAAAGAATTCACATTTCCAAGGTTAAAAATAATTCAGAATCTGACAAGAAAAGCTCTCTATGACTACAAAGCAGGCAGAGCTGTGAGTCCGAATATACACACAAACACAACACCAACTCAAGCAAACAGGTTGCATCACTTTGTAAAAGTTTATGAAGACCTGTGTAGTGAGCACAGCATATATGAAAGGTATGGGCAACATCAGCTTTAGCTTAGAGGAATTTTCACAGAAACAAGAATAAGACAAATGTATGGTAATCAGAAAATTAATGGATCACTTTTTAATTTTAATTCCAAGTTGCTGTGATGGCAGAAGCAACATCATTAGTACTGTAAATCCCATAGTCAGTAAAAGGAGTAAATGTAGGCATGACTGTTCATACAAAATTGAGATTGGAACAGCATAAGCAATTATTGTATTCTTTGAATATAAGCAGTATGAAGTTTAAATCAGTTCATGTCCTTAGTATCATCAAGAGGGCATGCCATCTAGAGGAAAAGGGGACCAAACTGAATCAGAAGTCTTTTGCAACAAGGAGCTGAAAGATTCCAACTGTTCTGGGATTCATTTCTTCAGGGAAGTCTCTCTTGCCCTCATTGAAGAGGAGTGCAGTAGGTCAATGTTCTGGGAAATCTCAGGAAAGTAGATGAACTGCCAGAAGAGATGCAGTTTGTGGTCACTATGGGGAAAACCAAACAAATCCAATGTCACTCATTTCTTCTGTAGAAGTGCCTCATCCCACCTTTCAGAATAAACATACATGCCTGAAATGTTTCTCACTATCTAAAAGGGAGATCTTGGAAAGATGGCTCACATTAAATCTTTTTACCTGCACTCTGGCACACGTATGGTCTGGACATGTCTGCTTCGCTTTTGGGGAGATACTGAATACCTGTGCTCACATCATCTGCTGCAGGGAGCAATCTGTGGTCCCTACTCCAAGAAGCAGAAATTGCCTTGCATCACTTGCTCTAATCTTGTTTACATCAGATTGCTGGTGTGCGGGAAAACACTTTTCATCCTCCTCCTCTGTGTCCCAGTGTGGCATCAATAACCTTCAAAAAGAAAAAAAAAAGAGAGACACACTGCTATTTACTAGGAAGGTGGTTTAAAGTCCTGAAGAAATGTCTTATATTCCTGGATGAAACATTTTCAAGCTACATTTGGATATGCTTGAGGCTTGAAAGGTCTATTAGGATAGTTCTATAGAACTGTGGGGGGACCCCTGGTGGCCTAGTGGTTAGCATGCTGGACTCTCACCACTGCGACCCAGGTTCAAATCCCAGTCCCCCCGGGCAGATGGAGCCCGTTAGCCCTGTGAGGCCATCCATCTATGAGAAGGTCACTCTAAACAAACCTACGTCCTGAGGACCTCACTGCCATTGTCCAAGCTTGCTTGGCCCCGGCAGATGAACCTTAGGATTAAAGGGTGGGCTCAGTTCAGCGCAGGCTGTGTCTCACCTAAAAAATCCATTGCGCAGGCTGGAAAGGTAAAAGACCTTTCCCCAAATCTTCGTTCGCGAAGACTGGCCATTATATTATAGAACTGTGGAGGTTGTAAAAGGTGTATGCAGGAAGATCTCTGGGGCACTCCAATCCCAGAATGACAATTAAGTTCCAACACAGGAAGAGCACACCTCACATCCATTTGGGCTGTGCCCAATTCTTGCCGTGTTTCATAGGAAACAGAGCAAAACTTCTGGTATTTGGGGGAGGACTTAAATGGCTTTTTGACATGAGAAAAACAGGGAAAAAAACCAAAGAGAAAATTGAACAATTTTCTGTAGGACCCCTGGATTAAAGCTAAACTGCCAAATTGGTGAAGTTCTGTGCATAGGAGTAACTAGAGACAGAACCTAACAGCCTAAAGTATACAGGTAGACCACAATAATGAACCACTCCCAAGAGTAAATTTGTCTCCATCCATTAAAAATGAAAGTGCCAGCTGGAGGTACATGGAGATAAGTGTATAAAATTTAGCTATCTGTAAAGATATTTGGATTACAAGTTTAACATTTAACAGCATGACAGTGATGTTACGAAGCATGAACTGAAAACTCTTGAAAGACAGGCCTGGAGTGTGTTATACTGGCTAAGGTGTAATTGTATGGCACACGTATATTCTGAAGATTATTTCTCACTCATAACTGCAGGACCTGACACCAATCTATTTCTAATAGTAACCTGGTCTGAGGTGTTTGCTCATCTTATGATACAGCCCAGAATAGTCCCTTTATCTCAGGGAACAACAATTTCAGATTTCTTTCCCATTCTATGTAATTTCCTGTGAACTTGTGATGCAAGTTATGCCATAAACATCTTTTTTCACCAGGCTTCAAAAATAAGAAAAAAAAATCCTCTTTGTAGCCTAGATACAGCTCTGATGTGGATGAAACAGCTGTGCTTTTTGCCCTCCCTCACTCCAAGTAAAAATACTAGTTACCTCCATAGACTGTTCATATTGTATCATCTGAGGATATCCTTAGTTTGTAAGAGAGAAGTAGTTACCATAAACATAACACCACTTGCATTACCAAAATTCTCATCATTTTGACCACCACTTCAAGTTTTCGAACAGATGCCAAGGATTTGACTGACACTCAAGAGTCTCCACTCCCATATCCCCTGCGTAAAAGGACTGCAGGTAGACTCCTTCTGAGCTGAAACACAGCATCCACATACTCATTTTACAATTTGTACCTTAGACTACACTAACCCTGCCCTGTGGAGATGTCACAAGTTAAAAAAAAAATTATGCCAAGAAGCATTTCTGAACATTGCAGCTGCAGTGTCTCTGCTATTACGTTGTTGGAGAGGTCCCTGCACATTTGTGGTTTTGGTATGGGCCACGTGCCATTCTCCCAGGCAATGCCAAGACATAGTTTCCAAGTCAGCAATGGATAGGGATTATTCACAATATACAGTTTACATAATGTCATCTTATTCTGGAGATTGAGAGTGCACAGTCATAAGCAGAATGGACACAACCTTGCCCAGGGCAGTTGGTCTCAAAGCCAGAGGACAGTCTTGATATAAAAGAACAGCCCTTCATGCTATTTAGTAGTTTTGACTTAACCTCTGATTTTCAACTGAAGTCTCTAGTTCACAGAACCCCCATGTGTCTCATCTATGGTTTGGATTATTCTGTAAGATCTTCTAGGAACAGCCCATGCTTCCCTTCATTTTTGTGTATCTAGCACAAAGAAGTCTTACACCCAATCAGGATGTTATCTAACATCAGAGCAAAATGAATGAAAATCATGACAGTACACTGTAGTTCCTACTGCTGAAGCTGAATAGAATCATATTTTTACAACCTGATATGAATATGAATCATATCTTTTGCAACCTTAATGTTGTAAAAGACCTTTAAGATCATTGAGTTGAACTGTTAACCCAGCACTGCCACATTCACCGCTAAACTGTGTCCCCAAGTGCCACAATTACATATTTCTTCAACACTTCCAGGAATGGTGATTCCATCACTTCCCTGAGCAGAAGAGGCAGTGATTGAAGGTTGTATATCCACCTGCCTTGTAATATATGCCTCAGTGTGCAAGACAGTGGCAAGTCTAGCAGTGGATTGAAAGACAGCAGATAATTTTTTCTGAGAACAGTTTAAGACTAAAATGTCATTGTACATGAGGCACCAAAACAACATAACAACCCTCATTTCCTCTTCCAGGCTTTCAGTGTGTGTCTCTACTAACAAATATAAAATAAAAACTATTTTTCACTTCTCAGATATGCCTTTACACTGTCATTATTTTAAGCCAAAAAAGTTCTTTTTTTTTCAATATTTATAACAGAATAAACAAATTATTAGTTAAGAATTTTTCTGAAAGCATCCTTTCAGATACCTACAGACCTAGAAAGACACAGTTCCCAAACTCTAATAAGCCCACAAAAGATCCTCTGGTGTGCCTCTGACCTTGAATGAGAATGGGAAGACTATCCCACGTGGCCTCCAGCATCTCTGACTGGCACAAAGGTTTCCTCTCTGTCATCAAGACACATCTCTGGCTCTCTGCCAAGGTGTCTTCTGGAGAAGAACTGGCAGCTGGCTGGGAGAGATGAGCAAGAGGAAGAAATCCAGGTGAACGAAAGAGAAAAACTGATTTGCAAAAAGGCTGCAAATGCAGTCAAAAGGGATATGACGGGTTTGGTCTTCTAATGGCAGAGGAAAGATTTTGAAGGACCTTGCGGGGTGGAAGAAGGGGGGCTGGAGGAGGAGGGATGAACATACCTGTTCAAAAGTGTTTAAATATGCCTACAGAAAGGACTAGGGGGAAGTTATCTAGTTATGCCAGCTTAAAATCATAGAATCACTAAGGTTGGAAAAGACCTTTAACATCAAGTTCAGCTTGTGAGCTTGTTCACTCACTCCTAAGTATTACTTTATTTAATAAAGGACTAGCACCATAAGATACCAGGAGCCGTCCGCACGGACGCCTCTTTTCTTGGCGTTTGGCAGCACCCGTCCCGCTTTAAAGTTTTCCGGAGGTGCCCCCCGCACCTCCCCGGCTCCCGCCGCCCCGCTGCCTCTCAAGGCATGACAGAGCTGGCTCCCCGGGCCCTTGCTATCCCCTTCCTCCTCCTGCGGGAACTTCCACAGCACCGGGAGAGCGCCGCAGAGGAACCCTTCCCGCCCACCCGGGAAGGGCTGGAAAAGGTGGATTTCGGGGGGGACAGCCCCGCCTCCCGCGGCCGCCCGCAGGCGGGGCGCGGGCGCCACCCGGTGGCCGCGGGGCCGAGGCGCACGGGCAGAGCGGTGTTGGGATCGAACGGCCCTGGGAATGACCGGCGCGAGGATCGGCGTTAGGAATGACCAGCGAGCGCGAGGATCGGCGTTAGGAATGAACGGCGCGAGGGTCGGCGTTAGGAATGGCGCTGGGAGCGGCGCGAGGGCCCCTTGCTGCTGCCGGCGGCTCCTGTCAGCTGCTGGTTTAAAGTAAGACCGCGGGTGGCGGTGCCTGCGGAGCAGCGCGGGGAACCTCCCGCTGAGGGTTTCCGTGTGCATGGGCTGCCCACAGGTCCAGCGGGTCCTCGAACTTCCTGAACTCGAGACGCTGATGGGCCCTCCAGCATCCCGATTCCCTGCCAATGCGGTGAACAAGAAACACAGGGGTAGGAAAGGAAGCGTAAAGGTGGCGTTCGCATCGCTCCGTGTAGCGTGGTACAAACCGCACCTTACCCAGAACAAAATGAAAGTATTAAAAGAAGATGGGAGAGGAAGGACCCTCCTAGATTGCAGGGTCCAGACTGCACCTACAGGACTGCCTAGCACCACGAGGCTGCCCCTGGCCGGTTTATAGCAGCAGGGTGGTCCTTACCTGAACAGGTCTTGCGTCTCCCCCGTCAGGGCTGGGGACATCTACTTGTCGCAAAGGACCCTGCAGATACAGCACTGGGGCTGACCCTGGGCTCTGCCACCTGCCCGTGGTGCATTTTTCCAGCAAAGGCTCCCCCGAGGCATTCTTTGTCTGTTTACATTGCCTGTTTTCTTTGATGAGTAATGACAGCTTGTAATCTCGAATGAAAGGGTCAGTATGGAAAGAGAGAGCTACATCTTTCGGTCGGGATGAGAGACAGGGAGTGTTCTCATTTCCTGGGCTATGTAGTACCGATGTTCTAATTTCTCTGTGCCGTGGTTTCCTAATGGTGTTCAGGTACGTCTTGGGATCCAAAGGCCATTCAGACTTTCTAGGAGTAACTAAAATAAGCAAAAGCAATGGCAATATCTTGTTACTATGACTGTCTTTAGATAATTAGAAAGTAACAAATACCTAATTATAGAAACAGAGTTTTAGGACATCATCCGTACGTCTGTACTGATGTTTTCATAGACTGAGTAGTCCTTTTGGTTCTCCTCTCTCTTCTTTTTTGGCCTTAGATAAGAGAGAAAGAGATTTTTCGATGGCTCCAGTACAAGAGGCCTACTTGAATCAGCCTCTTTGAATAACTTCCTGATCTTTTTAACGAAATAAACACAGTGTTATGCATTCATTGCTAAATACTAGTTTTATACCCAAAGTACTGAGGGAGGAAAAGGGTGGCCAACCTGATTTCAGGTGTTTGCAACATCCAGTAAGGAATAATTTCTCACAGTCATCTCTGAAAAAGGTCAGAGCCAGGACAATTGTGGTGACATGGCAGTAATAACACAGGGAATATGCATGGGGTGGGAGGGACAGGAGTCAAATGCAGTCTTGCGCTGTACAGCATAGCTGTTTTCAGCTGTGTGCCTAAGCAATAGGGGCAAAGCCTCATCCGTTTCTGAAGACTTGAAGTTGGCAACTTTCCAGTAATGACCAGCATAGCAGATGCACAAGACACTTCATATTTCTTCCCTTTATTGCTGTAAGCACAATGAAAGGAATGAAAGAAATAAAACTTGTACCATTGCTTCTTATCTGGTGTGACAGCTTCTCATGTTTGCACAGGAATTAAAGAAATAAAATTTCTTCCTATCACAGCCTATCCTACCTCACATCTGCTCATACTAGGTAGCAATTTCAGTCTTATCTTTCCAAACACAGTACAAGAGATGCATTCTGAACATAGAGGAGGAGACACCGCCTCTTAGACCAGAAGATGTGTCAGATCAAGAAAAAACACAGAAGTGTTTTCTTCCTGCTCTATCCAAAGACTAAATCAATGGAGATGTGATGACTGCAGTTATCAAAATCTACTAGTATCAGTACCAGCCTGTAGGAACAGTGGAAATGGCACTAAAGGATACCTAGGTTTACTGTATCCCTGTAACCATTCCAGAAAATTGAGGTGTCTCATTGTACCTTCACCTTTTCAGCTTGACTCTGAGCTGATAAGCTAAAATCTCTATTGACTTGAAAATGTAGTAATGAAATACTGACTTGGATGAAAATGTTGACATCAGTGGGATAGGACTCATTCTAATGATTTAGCACATTCAGATTTTATCTCTTTCTGCTCTTCTAGTTTATGAAATGATCCAGCATGAAAAATTTACTGGTGTGAAAAAAGAAAGTAGCTTTAGTGCATCAGAAAAAAAGGCACTTCTACCTACTTAACCTGTATTTCTTTAAAATTTTAACAACCAAGGATCTTTAAGGAGGACCCGCTTCATCACTCATCTTGCCCTGATATCGCATTGCTTGAAGTCAATCTCTACCCTGTAGCATTGTGTCCTTGATGGTGGAAAGCTATGTTCTCCACAAAAGAAACCCTAAAAGCCTCTACAATTTGAATTGTGCAATAATGTTCCTTGCACAGTGGGAGCACAGACAAATACAGATGAGATGTGACGACCGGCTCTCAGTTTTGTTTTGGTTTTCCTTATGATGCTGATACTAGTTCCCCAAGCATAAGAAGGAACAGCTTCATTAACAAGATCCTTTCATCTTACTTTGGATGATAGCTTTTTTCTTGTTGAAAACAGTCTTCCAAAAATGGGAAATTTGTCCAGGCAGAGTTGCAGATTTTGCCTATAGACAATAGATTTGGACTAAAGATCTTGACAGTCTCAGATTACAACAGACCTTACAGAGCTGGTAGTAGGACTCTTTAGGCAAGCCCACTTCCTACAGTCTATGAAAGACTCAGAGGTGAAAACCTGGGTTACCCCGTCTGGAAGATGAATCAGGATATACAAAGCCCTCTTTTCTCATCTGCCTGGTAAGATCTTGTTTGCCTTGGTCCGCTGATAACTAGGGATGTCTGAGAAAATGTGGAATTGTTTTCTTTCTAGTTTTCTTAGGTGGTCTCTTAGCGATAGAAAATGGAGACCAGCCTTCATGTTGGGAGGGACAGAGTATATTGCTTCCAAATCAATGTATCACTGCAGAGTCCCATGTCTCTGACATGCAGTTCATCCCACTTCCAGTCTCTCCATCTCTGTTCCATGTTACCATATGCAATGGACCTCAGGGTAAAAGCACATTTTATCCCAGAGTAAATTTTTATAACTCATGATGATACATCAGGTAAACATAGCAGTGATTGTTTACATATGTTGGTATTTAAGTTTGCTTGAAGCAATCATTCTGACACTGTAATAAATCCTGCTGTAGGATTAAATGCTCATTTGAATCTTTATTCTTTTCATTTTTAATCCAAGAAATCAAGAAAAGGCCAAGAAAGTTTACAGGTTTGATATTCAAGATATAAACTGTGAAATCCCAGCTGAGTTCTTTAACAGTAGAACATCCTAGAACAGTGACTGCTGAAAGTGCCTTGGACTCAGTAGATTTTCAGAATATAAAGTTGTACCTGTGCATAACCAAAGTGATGAAACAATTACAAGAAATTCTTATCCCAGAATGTTTCAGAAGCCCTTTGTGCTTCAGATCATGTATTTCCCAGTCAAGTCAGTAAGAATTAAAAAAACCCCAAAACTTGTCACTGAAAGTTTTATGCTTCTATGAAAAAAAGAAGTCCCTTGAAACAGCAAATTTTAAATTTACACTGTGGATTGACAGTTTCCAATAAAGTGATACCAGGCAATATATTTCCTTTTAAAGCTATAGGCAATATGCACACCTTCTAATTTTAGGTTTATAATTTAGATAGCAGCTAAGATCGTTTGCCAAGAAACCGAAGCCCTCCAAACCTGCTTTTCATGACTTGCCATAGTTTCCTTCCTAATCTGATCATATATTTTGGATGTCACTATTTGAGTAATATGACATTCTTTTTCCCCTGGTGTCTTGTTCCTTAAGGTAGAAAAGGCTTTTCTCCTTTCTCCTTTGGGACTTGCAATATTTTACTCAATAATGCTGCTGTTAGTGACTGTCAAAAATATCCTTAGAAAAGCAGAAAGATTGGGTTCAGGTATACACAAAAAGTGCTGAACTTGCATAAAAGCACAGCTTTTTGAAAAGACAGTTTTCAACAAGCAATAACCACCTCATACCTTCAGATTTAATATGTCGAAGTCACTCGCAGTAATGTAAATTAATTTGCTGACAGTTTGTAGGTGTGCAGTTTGAGTTCGGTTGCACTGCACCTTTGCTATTTATGCCTGGCAGACATAACCTGCATATACCTTTTTATGCCTTGTGAGTCAGGACCAGTGTTAATGCCAAGCTGCAACACCTCCAAAATGTGGTAGTACGAAGGCAACTCATGGTGAAGAATATCATGTGGCTGCTGTCCAAGAGGTGGACATCATAAATCCGTAGTGGAAGTGTGGGGTCCAGCTTTCCTCTGGCTTGCTGAGGCAGTGGGAGGAAAGGATGCATGAATAAGCTTCTCCTTAGAGTGGAAGGATGACACTCAGTGAAACTGCCTATCAGCAACTCCAAGTGGCTCATGTGCCAGGCATACAGCCCTGCATGAGCACGTGTAGACAGTGTGTTCAAATCAAACCGTACTAGAAACCTAATGCACTTATATGATCTTTTAAAGCTTAACAGTAACTTTTTTCACATTCATTTGTACCTAGAACAATCCTTTATGTTCAGCAGTTCACTTTGTCAAAGTGAACTTGCACTTAACATGAAGCCATTTCTCTGAGGAGATTGAATTTGTGGTGACAAAAAGTATCTTTCAAGAGGATGCATTGTGGGAAAGAATGGCACAACCAGCATGTGAGCATGTGAAATTTAACTGGAGATTGAAATAATTAGCCCAAGGAATCACTTGTTCTTATTTTATTAAGTTTGGAAAAATTCAAGCAAATAAAGGGAGTATAATGCTATCTTTGTAAGGGCCCAGTTCTCAACACTCCAATGTTCATATTTTGTCATTTCATAAAACCTTCAGTAAAAAAAGCTTTGTTTTTTCGCTCAGTTAGACTAAATCATGCAACTCAGTCAATACACACTTCATGGCTTGATATAATGCTGTTCTGTCTGAATTCATGCCAGTTTTACACCACGGCACACAGGAACTTGCTTTATTTCTGGCACTTATTGAAGAGCACTCATTTTAGAGTTTTAAAATACTGGCTGATACTAAGTTTCATTAACCCATCATTCAGGAGAAAAAAAACCACAACAAACCCAGAGAAAGAATATATTTAAAAATCCCAAAATAAATTTTAACAGCTTTTCTTGTTGCTTCCTGAAAAAGCAACACATTTTCAAAATAGGTACTTAAAATGCTGGGGTTAAAAATTAATAGTGTCTGCATATATCAGCACAACA